TGTCATAAATTTTTGATTTAATACTTTTACAAACTCAAATATAGAAAGGCTATAGCTAGACCAAAAAGACTGAAATTTACTAATGACCTTTTTTTGGAGTTTAAATATAATCATTTTTATAGCTGTATCATATAATTTCTAGAAGAAATTATGCGTATTACAAACAAAAAAATGATGCATATTAAAGTTTTAATCGGTGTCAAGTTATGCGAGTACTTGTTAAGTTACTCCCAGGGGATGCAACACCACTCAATAACAAGTAAGATTAGAGGTCAAAGGTAGGAGCTTGAGAGTTGGAACCATGTGTGGCCTGGTGCATTAGCCGAGGTACAATATTCTTGTATGGATCTTCTTCTCTTTTCTGCTTCAAGTAAGCAATGCATCTCCCAATCTTAGACTTTATATGTCAATACAGTTGATGGCATTTCTCCCTATCTCTCAGTTCTTGCTTTCTTCCTTTTATATAACACTACTAAAATTCCCACTTTTAGCAACCCCTTATTAGCAACATGGGTGTCTTTGTCGGTAATATAAATTTTCACCCACAAGAACTATGTTGTTAAAAGCTATACAGTACATATTTCCACCTAAAAGTGAGCTCCACTTTTAGTAACAAGGGGTCTGTTGTTGTAATTTTTTGGTTACCATATAGTGCATATTCTCACCTAAAGCTATACAGTACATATTTCCACCTAAAAGTGAGCTCCACTTTCAACAACAAGGGGTATGTTGCTGTAATTTTTCGATCACCATATAGTGCATATTCTCACCTAAAAGTGAGTTCCACTTTTAGCAACAAGGAACATGTTGCTAAAAGTGAATTGCAGTGACAAGGAATATATTGCTAAAAGTGAATTTCAACGATAAGAAATATGTTGCTAAAAGTGAATTTTAGTAATAAGGGACATGTTGCTGTAATTTTCCAGTCACTAGAAGCACTAGCAACATATACCATATAGCTGATGTTAGACATTACCAACAAAAACCACATTATTGTTATTCCAATGTTTTTAGCAATCAAAAGTAAGCAACAAGGAATATGTTGCTAATATTACCCTTCTCTAGTACTGCTTTGAAGGTGAGGATGACGATGGGGGGGATGATGACGACCGAACCTTGGCTCGGTACTAGTGAGAACTTGGACATACCCACATGGGTTCTCATTGGGAGAACTAGATCTGGTGAGAACCCAAGCTGGGTACTGGTGAGAACCCAAGCTATAGGTTCTCAATGGGAGAACCTTGGGTTATTTTGTTTTTTGTTTACTTTATTCCTAAATTCTTTCTAGCCAAACTCATGTTTATTTTAAATTGGAAAGCAAACCCATAAACCCATATTTTTGCAGCTTCAATTGATCTGGGTTCTTATGAAGTCTTTTGGGTT